AAAAAAAAAGAGTACAAAAAGATAGAGATGAATGGAATGGTAAGTTATGAAGAAGAAGGATGTTGGTTCGATATGGACGCCAGAACCACAAATAGCATTCGCCAACAGCCTATATAGCTTCCCAGAGTTAATATTATAAAGTCATTATGAGTCTTTAGTGAGTTAACAGACATTTTTACCCACAAAAGTTTATAAAAATTTATCATTTAAAAAAGTCGTTAAAAGTCATTAACTTTTTTTAATACAACCAAACATTAATGACATTTTAAAAGTTACAATTGAATATATTTACTCGTGAGATTGAGACCCAATTCGTTGGATTTCAGACTCTTTCATCTCTGATTTCTAAAGGCCTTGTTCTGGGCCTGGGTGCCTTCGAAATTTTTGAAATATCCACCAGTTGACCAAACACATTAAAATGCAGTCACGTCAAGAAACAAGACTCCAAAATTCAGAGATACAAGATAATCAAACCAACACAAAAAATACAGAATGTGAATGAACTTGGGGTAACTTTCAAGTAGAAAAACTCATTTAAAACTGGTGTATGCACTATTTTTCTCATAATAAGTGGTCACATAACTAAACACGTGAAAGAAAATAGAGTGCATGAAAGAGCTGGTATATGCACTATTTTTATCGTTATAAGTGGTCACATAACTAAGCACGTGAAAGAATATAACGTGCACGATGCTGTATAAAATTTGTTAAACATAAAATGCACTTGTCAAAGAAATTGAGGGACAATATCGCTTTTAACTCATATCGAGGATAACCCAACAAGTTTATAGAACTTACTCATAAGATGTTCTAGCCTTTTGATTAAATAACAATATCTTATGGATTATGGAACAGTCTTGTGAATTGTAATTAGTTGATAATATAATCCAATATTACAAGACTCAACATAACTGTCTCAAAAACCCTCAGAATAGCAATTGTCGACATGAAGATAAGACTCAACAGCCTTCCAGGAAAAAAGGCTCACCCCAAGTTATAGGGCGACACGTGTTATGGTCCAAAACCATGACCAAGATGAAATGCGTGCATGGCATCACACGTGTCGAGCATTCAGCTGGTCAAAAATCCTATATAAACCCTACCCAATTGTAAGGTATTCATCATCAACAAATCAAATTTGAGTTATAACAACTTCATCTGAATTTCAAGTGTTTTCAAGAAGACAAAGCAAGAAGAAAATGGCTGACAACTCTCAGAAGATGAGCTACCACGCTGGTGAGGCCAAGGGCCAAGCTCAGGTAATTAACTCACCTTTAATTCTCCATTTGTTTTTGCTTCTTTCTTCTGTTTTCTTTTAGATTGATGTGGGATGTTTTGTATTGGATACTTTTGGATTTAACAGGAGAAGGCCAGTGGGATGATGGATATGGCTAACAATGCAGCCCAATCCACCAAGGAGACAATGCAAGATGCTGGTCAGAATGTGCAGGCTAAGGCTCAAGGAGCTGCTGATGCAGTCAAGAATGCCACTGGCATGAACAAATCAAGCTGCTCATGATGATCATTTTCATGACTTTTAATCACTTTATAGAGTTAAGATGATGGCAAACTTTCATTGAGTTTTATAGACTTCTATGTAATTTTTTTTTTCTTACCCTTCTTTCGAATGAAGGAATTGAAAATTGCATAGAATTTTAAAATGATGGAATTTAGATCTCCATCGTTTTAAGTTATGGAAATTAATAATTTCAGTGTTAAAAATTTATGTATGTCGAATTTTGCAAATGAAATTTCAGGGAAAAACGAATTCCTTCACTCAATAGAAATTGTGAAATGATGACTCTTTTGATTGAAATTAAAATCAGAAATCTTGAGTGCTTAACTTTCGTGCTAAAGTAGCCAAACAATGAAAATATCAAATTCTACTCTTCAATTCCCAATTTTTAGCTAAATAATTAACGTAGGGTAATAGCAGTATGTAGCATGACAAAAAAAAAACGAATTCTAATATTATCTTTTGATCATGTTGAATTAACTCATGAGATCTATATAACCAAAATAATTATTCATGTAGAGATTGTTGAATATCAATTATGAATTCGTTGGGTTTGAGACTTTTTCATCTATGATTTCTAAAGGTCTCATTCTGGCCTGGGTGCCTTAGGGCTTTTTGAAATATCCACCAGTTGATCAAACACATTAAAACGCACTCAGGTCAAGAAACAAGACTCCAGAAATCAGAAATACAAGAGAACCAAACTAACACAAAAATACATAATGTGAATGAACTTGGGGTAACTATCAAGTAGAAAAATTTATATAGAGCTAGTGTATGCATTATTTTCCTCGTAATAAGTGTTCACATAACTAAGCACATGAAAGAATGTAGCGTGCATGAAAGAGCTGGTGTATGCATTATTTTTCTCGTAATAAGTGGTCACATAACTAAGCACGTGAAATAATATAGCATGCATGATGTTGTATAAAACTCGTTACACGTAAGATTTTTTGCGATTAGAGCATCTCCGACCAATGTGTCAAAAGTGCCACATAGACATTTAACGGCTAGAAATAATGTCTCACATCGCTCCAACCGATATGTCAAAGCTGATGTGGAATGAAGGCTGGAGGTTGAGATGTTGCTCCAACCGATATGTCAAAGCTGATGTGGAATGAAGGCTGGAGGTTGAGATGTTATTTTTGACATCCCAAAAGCAAGATGTCAAATGAATATTTTATTATTTTTTCTTTTCTTTTCTTGTTTTTTAAAAATAAATCAACACTAAAATGTAATAAAATAATAATTTAATTTGACATATCGGGTGAAGTGTAAAGCTGTGTAAGATGTCAAATTACCACATCAGCCTTCAAATTTAAATTTGATGTTTGGTAATTGACATCTCACTTGGAGATGCTCTTAAAGATAAAATGCACACTTGTCCAAAAACTGAGGGACAACATCGCTTTTAACTCATGTGAAGGATAACCCAACAATTTTATTAGTATTTACTCATAAGATGTTTTGGCCTTTCAATCAAATAACAATATCTTGTGGAACAGTCTTGCGAATTGTAATTAATTGATAATATAATCAAATATTACAAGAATTCCATAATGTTGAAAAAAGTAATTTCATTCACAAAACTGTCTAAGAAACCCTCAGAATAGCAACTTTTCAGACTCAAAAGCCTTCCTGGTCAAAAGGCTCACCCTAAGTTATAGGGCGACATGTGTTATGCTCCAAAACCATGACCAGAATGAAATGTGTGCATGGCATCACACGTGTCGAGCATTCAGCTGGTCCAAAATCCTATATAAACCATACCCAATTGTGAGATATTCATTATCAGCAAACCAAATTTGAGTTATAAAATCATCATCTGAATTTCAAGTGTTTTCAAGAAAACAAAGCAAGAAGAAAATGGCTGACAACTCTCAGAAGATGAGCTACCACGCTGGTGAGGCCAAGGGCCAAGCTCAGGTAATTATCTCACCTTTAATTCTCCATTTGTTTTTGCTTCTTTCTTATGTTTTCTTTTAGATTGATGTGGGAAGTTTTGTATTGGATAATTTTGGATTTAACAGGAGAAGGCCAGTGGGATGATGGATATGGCTAACAATGCAGCCCAATCCACCAAGGAGACAATGCAAGATGCTGGTCAGAATGTGCAGGCTAAGGCTCAAGGAGCTGCTGATGCAGTCAAGAATGCCACCGGCATGAACAAATGAAGCTTCTCATGATGATCATTTTCATGACTTTTAATCACTTTATAGAGTTAAGATGATGGCAAACTTTCATTGAGTTTTATAGACTTCTATGTAATTTTTTTTCTTTCTTACCCTTCTTTTGAATGAAGGAATTGAAAATTGCATAGAATTTTAAAATGATGGAATTTAGATCTCCATCGTTTTAAGTTATGACAATTAACAATTTCAGTGTTAAAAATTTATGTATGTCGAATTTTGCAAATGAAATTTAAGGGAAAAACGAATTCCTTCACTCAATAGAAATTGTGAAATGATGTCTCTTTTGATTGAAATTAAACTAAGAAATCTTGAGTGCTTAACTTTCGTGCTAAAGTAGCCAAACAATGAAAATATGAAATTCTACTCTTCAATTCCAAACTTTTAGCTAAAAAATTAACGTAGGGTAATAGCAGTATGTAGTATGACCAAAAGAAAACGAATTCTAATATTATCTTTTGATCATGATGAATTAACTCGTGAGATCTATATAACCAAAATAATTATTCATGTAGAGATTGATGAATATCAATTATGAATTCGTTGGGTTTGAGCCTTTTTCATGTCTGATTTCTAAAGGTCTATTTTGGGCCTGGGTGCTTTGGGGCTTTTTGAAATATCCACCAGTTGGTCAAACACATTAAAATGCACTCAGGTCAAGAAACAAGACTCCATAAATCAGAAATACAAGAGAACCAAACTAACACAAAAATACAGAATGTGAATGAACTTGGGGTAACATGAAAGAAATGGTGTATGCATTATTTTTCTTGTAATAAGTGGTCACATAACCAAGCACATGAAATAATATAACATGCATGATGATGTATAAAACTCGTTACACGTAAGATTTTTGCGATTAAAGATAAAATGCCCACTTGCCTAGAAACTGAGAGACAACATCGCTTTTAACTCATGTGGAGGATAACCCAACAAGTTTATTAGCATTTACTCATAAGATGTTCTGGCCCTTCAATCAAATAACAATATCTTGTGGATTATGGAACAGTCTTGTGAATTGTAATTAATTGATAATATAATCCAATATTACAAGAATTCCATAATGCTTAAAAAAGTAATTTCCATTCACAAAACTGTCTAAGAAACCCTCAAAATAGCAACTTTTAAGACTCAAAAGCCTTCCTGGTCAAAAGGCTCACCCTAAGTTAAAGGGCGACACGTGTTGTGGTCCAAAACCATGACCAGGATGAAATGTGTGCATGGAATCACACATGTCGAGCATTCAGCTGGTCCAAAATCGTATATAAACAATACCGAATTGTGAGATATTCATCATCAACAACCCAAATTTGAGTTATAAAAACATCATCTGAATTTCAAGTGTTTTCAAGAAAACAAAGCAAGAAGAAAATGTCTGACAACTCTCAGAAGATGAGCTACCACGCTGGTGAGGCCAAGGGCCAAGCTCAGGTAATTAGCTCAAATTTAATTCTCCATTTGTTTTTGCTTCTTTCTTATGTTTTCTTTTCGATTGATGTGGGATGTTTTGTATTGGATAATTCTGGATTTAACAGGAGAAGGCCAGTGGGATGATGGATATGGCTAACAATGCAGCCCAATCTACCAAGGAGACAATGCAAGATGCTAGTCAGAATGGGCAGGCTAAGGCTCAAGGAGCTGCTGATGCAGTCAAGAATGCCACTGGCATGAACAATTGAGGCTGTTCATGATGATCATTTTCATGACTTTTAATCACTTTATAGAGTTAAGATGATGGCAAACTTTCATTGAGTTTTATAGACTTCTATGTAATTTTTTTTTTCTTTCTTATCCTTCTTTTGAATGAAGGAATTGAAAATTGTATAGAATTCTAAAATGATGGAATTTAGACCTCCATCGTTTTAAGTTATGGCAATTAATAATTTCAATGTTAAAAATTTATGTATGTCGAATTTTGCAAATGAAAGTTCCGGGAAAATCAAATTCATTCACTCAATAGAAATTGTGAAATGATGTCTCTTTTGATTGAAATTAAACTCAGAAATCTCGAGTGCTTAACTTTCGTGCTAAAGTAGCCAAATAATGAAAATATGAAATTCTACTCTTCAATTCCCAACTTTTAGCTAATTAATTAACGTAGGGTAATAGCAGTATGTAGTATGACCAAAAGAAAACGAATTCTAATATTATCTTTTGATCATGATGAATTAACTCATGAGATCTATATAACCAAAATAATTATTCATGTAGAGATTGATGAATATCAATTACGAATTCGTTGGGTTTGAGATTTTTTCATGTCTGATTTCTAAAGGCCACATTTTGGGCCTGGGTGCTTTAGGGCTTTTTGAAATATCCACCAGTTGGTCAAATACATTAAAATGCACTCAGGTCAAGAAACAAGACTCCATAAATCAGAAATACAAGAGAAGCAAACTAAAACAAAAATGCAGAATGTGAATGAACTTGGGGTAACTATCAGGCAGAAATATTTATATAGAGCTCGTGTATGCATTATTTTCTTTGTAATAAGTGTTCACATAATTAAGCACGTGAAAGAATGTAGCGTACATGAAAGAGCTGGTGTATGTATTATTTTTCTCGTAATAAGTGGTCACATAACTAAGCACGTGAAAGAATATAGCGTGCATGATGATGTATAAAACGCGTTACACGTAAGATTTTTTGCGATTAAAGATAAAATGCACACTTGTCCAGAAACTAAGGGACAACATCGCTTTTAACTTATGTGGAGGATAACCCAACAAGTTTATTAGCATTTACTCATAACATGTTCTGGCCCTTCAATCAAATAACAATATCTTGTGGATTATGGAACAGTCTTGTGAATTGTAATTAATTGATAATATAATCCAATATTACAAGAATTCCATAATGCTGAAAAAAGTAATTTCCATTCACAAAACTGTCTAAGAAACCCTCAGACTAGCAACTTTTAAGATTCAACAGCCTTCCTGGTCAAAAGGCTCACCCTAAGTTATAGGGCGACACGTGTTATGGTCCAAAATCATGACCAGGATGAAATGTGTGCATGGAATCACACGTGCCGAGCATTCAGCTGGTCCAAAATCCTATATAAACCATACCCAATTGT